GTTCTCTACCGTCTTTTGCTTCTGCTCTGCAAGCTCTCTATGGCTCTGATTCTGAATCAGACTCTACTGTTGCTTTTCAGCTTGATGCTGCATCGTCTAGTGATAGTTCTGATCCTTGATCCGTTTAAGAGTCTCGATTGGTAATCTGTTCAGGGATAGTCTTATGTTCTTGGTCTGAGATGGTCTGAGATGTCTGTTTTCTTTTGAGGTCTTATGTGTTGGATTGAATAATTGCTGTGTTATGTCGAATTTCCTTCAGTCAATAAAGATTCCTGTTTTGGATCATTTCTTAGCTGTTGTTCAGTACTTTGTGGAAAGCTGCTTGTTATGTATGCAGGGATAAGGCAATCGACAATCCTCCAACTTAGGGGGAGATTGTTGAACTAAGCAAGCCAAATCAAGTTGGAGATAGTCCACTCTTACTGTTGATTTCTTGCAGCTCAATTACAGGAACCTCAAAAGGAAACAGCAGCCTGTCATTAGGAACTTACCTTCTCTGACTCCAACGGCTAGTCTATTGAAGAGACTATATATGCCTGAGTAACTTCTGCTGTTTGAGGCACTTTTGGAGGAGCTATTGTGGTAAAGGGCTTAGCTCTAGAATTACAAAAGGGATTGGCGAAAGGTTGAGGCACAGGTTCAACTTTCGCCAAGGCAGAAACAGATCGGAGACTGATCTGGGTTTTCATTACCTTCTTCTTATTGCTACATTGATTCTTGCTTTGTGGTTATTTTCTGTTCGTGATTTCATAGTTAATAAAAGGCCTCCCAGACCATATTCTGGGACGTGGAAGTAGACCATTGCACAAGGGCGAACCACGTTAAAAATGTTTTGTGTTCGTTAAGCTTCTCTGCTCTTTACCTTCTGCAATTCGAGTGTTTAGCTTGAGGAACTCTGTTCCTTGCTCTGTTTCGGTTGAGGAGCAACAGAATCTAGTGACTCGTGCTTGATAGAAAAAAAAGCAGGGCTTGAAGCCCATTACGATTAAAACTCAACCAAAGCAGATTCTCTGAAATTGTTTTACTCGGGCCCGTTCTTTTCGGCCCACTTTATCAGAGTACAAAAACGAGAGTCATCTTCCTTTCCTTTGACTCTCGAACTACTCTCTGAAATCGGGTGTTCTTCTTGAACCCTAATTCCCAAATCGATCTCAAACCTTCTCTACAAACGATTAATATTTTGGGGGCGTGAGGACTTGAACAGATGACCTCAAGGACAAACCAGCTCTAATACCATGTCACAAACCAGTTGCCAGTTGGTCCCAATAACTCGAGGTGTTGGGAGAAGGTTATGTTGAATCTTATACTACTCTCTAACATGGTACTTGAATAAAATTCTCACGAATTATTCCCTAGCATCATCTAACTGTTAAAAAAACATTTTAATTTACTTATAAGTAAAATGCAGTTACAAATTGGAATATTGTTACGGTAAAAGCATACACAGATGGAGTATGATTATCCCAAAATATGGCTACCCGCAAAAAGATACATAAGAAACAAAAACAATTAGAAATTATATCGAACAAATTAGCTAGCTTAGCTAGTAGCTACCCAAGCTGGCAGGAAATTATTTACAAGACATGTACGGTTAGTTACTACCTAGGCGAAAGAATCACAGCCTGGGGTTTGCTTTCATGAGTCGATGGACGGCAAAACAGAGAAGAATTTCTGACAGCGAAAATTAGTACGAGAACAGCAGTGGGGGAAAAAAGAACATATTATTTGGTAGAGTAATTTGGTGAAAAAGCGAATCTCCAACTGGGAAAAGAAAAAAAAAAAAGGAAAAGGAAGAAAGAACATTGCTAGCTTGGCTAAGCTTCAGTTTGACCCTCCTTTGTCCAATTTACAAGTGTTGACAAATGAAGAGCTCGATTGGGTGCACACTTGGCAAACCTCATTCCCAAGGCTTAGCTTTGCTTGAACAACCGGTCAAAGATTTTGTTAGTTGATCCATACTAAGAAAAATTAAGGACGCACGTCTCATACCCTGGCTGGTTTATTACATATATGGTCACCAATCTTTTGGGTCACTTAAATTCTGCCTGATATTATTTTGGATCGATGTTGGTTTTGTTTAGAACGTTCCTCTTAAACACGCTACTGATGACCTTCATAAGAAAAAGGTCTTAGGCGACTTATGGATGTATGATGTGTCACTCGGAGGTCGAGTTTTTTTTTTTTTTTTTGCCACTTCTTCATTTCTTCTAAGTTTGTTTTGGTAGTCCAGGACATACTTAGTTTGCGGCTTTTTGTTTATGGTCTATACTCGAAAGATTTTAAGGGATTTACTACGGCTTTAAAAGATGCGAATTGACATGATAGGGTATCTAATTGGGTAAACATGATGGTCCCTGCAATGTTTCGCCCTATTTGGTTAGAGATAAACATTAAGATCTTCAAGGATAAACAGTCTGATAGAGAAGTAGTGTTGTATATACTTATGCCACAAGTTTGGGGAGCGATTTTCACCCGAAGAGACATGGTTTGTGAAGGAGACAACATATAATAAGTTTGTGGAACATGTTATTTTGTTCACATTCATAGTGATTTTATGCCAGTTAAGTATATTTTTGGACCAACAGCGCATTTTAAAACATGGCTTGGTAGTCTTTGTGGTTTCATTTTGCGGTGATATCTTTTTAACTATCACTTGTACGCATCTATGTAAAATGCTGACCATTCAATAACAGTATAAATGATGTTTCCTTGAGGGTTCTATAAATTCTTTCATTCATTAAAAAAATGAACTTGTCACAACCATGTTATCCGTCCAACTATGTGAGTTGAGTGTAACAACTCAACCAATTAATATCATAAGTGGACAACATAAAAACTCCATAAGTTCAAATAGATATGATTTTCAATTTAAACTCATGCTTCATCAAAATCGAAGTTGTTGCTTGACTCGTGTCCAACTCACATTAGTCGAAACAATTTGGTAACGAACTATTACGAACTAGCTATCAGAGTGATTATTATGTTAGTTATATTCAAAACCATAGTCGGTGATTGGTTTAAGAATCGAAGTTTATGGACCAATTTGATAGGCACTCAAACTTCGGTGATGGTTATGCAATGAACCCTGTAGTATGCAGTTGCGGGAGCAAAATGTGGAGGGAGAGAAGCTTAAATAAAAAGCTGAAGAAGTGATGAGTGTACGTTAATTTTATGTATATATACTTTAATGAAGATCATAATCAGCCTGCCATGGTGATTTGGTTCGATGCTAAGGAATGAAATTTTTACAGGGTGGGATGATTCAGCAACTTAATCTAATATATATATTTGCCACTAAGCCACAGCCAATTGGGATTGATGCGATTTCCCACTTGTTTAGTGGAATATTGATGATTTGAAATGAAGGTCAACGACTCAAACTGTATACCAACTCACGTATATCCTTGATCCCCTTTGCAACCTTTCCTTTCCTCTCCATCCCTTTGTCTCTATGTTCTCAAGTGGAAAGTCTACACATAATATAATGGTATAGTTAATCATTATTGGTGTTCCTAAAGGAAATGATGGCTCATTGATAATTATTGTCTCACTCATTATTAGTTAAGCGGTTTAATATGTTATATATTATCCCCAAATCCACGTCGATTATATAATTTTATCTCCAACGAAAACTGCTCTTGGCAAAGTAACATTGCACTGGAAACAAGGCCCGAGAGTTATTCGTGTAATTACTACTTTGTCACTCTATTAATATGCATTCACTCGGATCAAACTACTAACCAGCTGCATAAAATATAAATTTGGCCCTTAAAATTTCACACCAACACTACGTTTGTTTGATATGAAGACATGTTGATCAGTTGAAAACTGATGTAACAATTTTGGCATATATAGGACATTAGAGAGTAAAAGATACATGTGTGGCTTTTCAAAACTTTTGTGATTTTTTTTTTTTTATACAAAAGATAATCATTCAAAGTTTATGTGATGAAAATAACACTTCTGCGAAATCACGTGTGTTTGGCTAGATGTATTTATGGATATATTGTATGGTTTATTGCATTTTTTACGTGAAGGGAAAGACCTACAAGAAAAAAACTACAAAAATTTTGGGGCTTACAGCTATCCATATATTCTTAACTAAATTCAGAGAGAGAGGTAAAAGATTTAATTTTTTTTAATTATTATTTAATTGCTACGTCATTCATGTAACGGCAAACTATAAGAGTTGGTTGCCACATCAGAAAAAGGTAACGGAGTTGGACGGTTAATGACCAAACTTGGACTATCAAACTAATTTCAGTGAGCATGAATGAAATAAAATATTTTTACTGCCAACAGTGAACTATTTTAGTAAACCCAGTGGCTAAACTTACAATTTAACGGAATTGGACTGTCAATGACCAAATTTGGACTATCAAACTAATTTCAGTGACAGTGAATGGAATAAAATATTTTTAGTAAAACAAGTGAACTGTTTTAGTAAACCGAGTAATTAAACTTACAATTTATCAATTAAAATGGGCTAATTTACATGGTTGGTCACTCGAATTTCAAAAATCTTTCACTTTTGCCACCCAAATTACTTTTCTTTCTTATTAGCCACTAATTTTATGATTTGTTTCACCATTAGTCACTGACCGTCAATCTCCGTTAACACCATTAGATTTTTTATGACGTGGCAAACGAAAATGCTGCCTGTACTGACAGAAAGCTGAGTCACATAATTCTGACTGTCTAGTCAGCCTCGACCCAGCAATTGAGGGGACCATTTTTACATTTCATTTTACTTTTATTGAGAAATTTTTTACTTTAGTTAAACCAAGGATTCAGATGGTCGCCGATGCTTCTCCTCCGTCGACTCCATCATCAATCTCCCTAGTTTCAACCGGCTTCTACCACCATTATGTTCCTCCGCCGACTAAATCAATCTGCCCCACTCCTCTGCCGCTAGTCCATATCTATGCTCTTATGTAAACAAAGAAGTAAGCTTACCAGAACCCCTAATTCGTCATAATCTAAAATCCCTAGAAGCTACTCAGATCTGGCGTCCTCAACCATTCGACGCCACGTTTTCATTCAAGTCGGGGTCAGGTTTGGGGACGCCGCACGACGACAAGAAACAAGGGCGTTGGTCGCTGAACACTGTCGTCATTTCTATAGTGACGGTTTCCGTCGTCGGGGCAACATCATCGATTGGGTTTCCATCTTCTCTTTCGCCGAAGAAGGAGCCCTCCTCTACCCACTCCTCCACCGATTTGACCAGGAGACAACTAATATGGAAGCATACACCAAACAAATGACAAGCTCACTCTTTGATTCAACCCGGAATCGTCACCGTCACCGCCTTGACCATCATCTTCTGATGGGGAGTCCATGGAGGAAGAAGGTTTTTTCTTCTTCACCTTCTTCTTCAGTTCGTTGAGTTTGGGGGTAAAGAAACGGTCTCATCTCAGGGACGGCGGCGGAAGGTTGGAAAAAACCATATTCTCAATCGGTTGCGGCAACGCTAAAATGCAATGGGTTTTAAAATTTCTTATTTGTTTAATTTTTGTTTTTTATTAAAAATTCCATCTGAGCCTTTTTTTTCCAGCCCACTCAGCACTCCTGTTTGCCACGTCATAAAAAATCTAACGGTGTTGATGGAGTTTGACGGAGACTGACGGTCGGTGACTAATGGTGAAACAAATCATAAAGTTAGTGGCTAATAAGAAAGAAAAATAATTCGGATGACCAAAGTGAAAGATTTATGTAATTCGAGTGACCAACTATGTAATTTAGCCATTAAAATGGGGGATTGCTATTCGTCGCCCTAAAATAGCATATTCGTCGCCCTAAATCATATTGAATTTACACAAATGCCCTTATTTTTTATTGTTCGGGGGTATCATACAGGTTTTCAACACGTCCGGATATGCCTCTCTACATTTTACAAAGCAAGGCAAATTTCATACCTTCTTCGAATGAAAGGAATCTTATATATGATGAATGCTGAAGTTAGTTGAATATAAATCTAGGAACAATTGATGTTTTATTGTTAATTATAAAATGGAACTCGCTTTCTGTTCGATGACACTCGTAGCAGGTGTACTAATTCTGCTGCGAAGCGCGACGAAGATCACACACAAGGCGCAAGCTGTGACGCTCTTGGCTGCTAAGTGGAATGTTTGTGGCACACTGGAGCGCTTCGGTGCGACCGAAGGCGAGACTCCGACGAGAGAAGGGTCTAGAGTTTAGGTTTGATTTGGAGCAGGGGCATATGTGTCATTTTAGTGTAGTTTAGGGCGATAAAATTTAAACTTTAGGGCGACAAATAGCAATTCAGTTAAAATGATAATGATTATGGACATTTCTAGAGAGGCCACAGAATATTGATTTGGCCTATTATTGTAGTTGTTTCGTGGGCCTGGAAGCTGCGATGAGTTTGAAGCCAATCATGTTACTTGGGTTATAGCCTTATAGGCTCGTAACTTCCAAACGCACATTTAAGACTCTCAGAATGTGGTCATTGAATTTCCGTATCCGATTATTATTCTTAATATTCTAATTTTCCGAAGCAATATAATTATGGTTTTTGGTATCTCCCAATCGCTCGATCCGCGCTGTTAATTAGCTGCCAGCCGCTTATTCGACGGAAATGTAGAAACCGTCTTCTACCCGTCTTTCTTTCAGTCCACCTAAAACTAAAATACCAACGCAGGCCTAGCCGATTCTTTCTACCTCCTTAAATACCTAATCTCCAGCAAACTATCAGCCTACTGGCCTTTCCAATGGCTGAATTCCAGCTGTTTATGGAGAGTCTAGACTCTCTTTGGTTCTTCAATAACGTCCTCTTCTCCTCTCCAGTTCCCACCACAAATCCAATCGTATCACTAGAATCAGAAGAAGAAGAAGATTCCCACGAATTAGAAGAACAAAGCAATCAAATTGCAGTAATCCAGAGCTCTGACGTCATTGAACACAAGGCAGATTCCAACCTCAATTCCCCTGAAGAAGAAATTGAGCTCCCTGTGACGCCGGTGGTGACGGAGAAGGGAGGAGGAGGAAGCAGGATAGGAGAGATAGTATTCGAGTCAAAGCCGGAATCACCACTGGAGAGGAGGAAGCGTATGGCGAGGAGATCACGGAGCAAGCGCAAGATATTGCTGCTGGAGCTCGACCTCTGTTTCGATGACCTCAACCTTTTATCTCCTAGCAGCTATGGCAGGGGAGGCGGCAGCAGCTTTGGGCGATCGTACGGGATAATGGTGAGTCAACGGGAGGATCTGAGCGAGATGAACGATTCGCTGGCGATGAAACGGCATCTCAAGTCTTGGGCTCATACCGTCGCCTGCACCGTTAAGTGAACGGTAGGTAGGGGTTAAAAGGTCTTGAATGAATCTTGATCTAACTAGAAATGGTCCTCTGAATCCTTGTTCTGATTTTTTTCGTTTAGCAGAATTTTAGCTTAGGTCAGTTTTTTGCTGGAAAGAATGCGAAGTTCCTAAATTTGGTTAAACTGACCAAATGAGCTCTGTTCTTTCTTTCACCTTGTTTTGTTGCACAGTTGTTGAATTTTCATTTGTTATTCCTCAATAATTCGTTGAGGGTTTTTTTCTCTATCTGGAATCACTGGATTTTGTTTGTGTTTGAAGAATCTAACCATATCATGATGTGAGACGATTAAAAAACCTGCGACGATTTTCCAAAAAGAATAGTAATGGTTATTCAACGGTTGGATATGAGGAGGAAGGGGGAACCCCAAGGACATTAATGGCTAACAATGGTTAGATGGATTGGATTATTAAACACGTAAAATGAAGTGTTACATCTTTCTTTCTTATGGAGTTGCGTAAACAGAAACCAATAAATGTGTTTGTTGGAGTAGTAATTAAGAAGTTCTCCGTTGCCAAGTTTGCTTAATTCCAGGCCAAGCAGAACTTCTCCACCTTTTCAATTTTGTGCAAGTTTTAGCTTCGGCTGATTGAGATGCTTTCAGTTTACATCTTTCTATTCATGGCTCATGATCCATGATCATCTAACTGGCTCTATTAATATTGCTATTAGCTAGCATGATTGATTGAGTCACTAAGTTGATGTAGTGAGTAATGACTCAGTTAGTTCGGTTTATTTGGTTATAAAGGGATACCCAAAATTGTATCAATAGAATGTACAATAACGGTATGATGATATAAAAATTTTACCCTGATTGATGATTTTTTTTTTTATTTTTTTGCCAAAGTGGCCGAGAGATATTTGGTTGGCGTAATAGGTTACATAGCAATCACGTCACGGTACAATTTTTGGTACTCAATTAGGGAAATTTTGCACAAATCTGTAATTTTGCAAGTGGGATTGGTATCCCTTTTGTTTGAGGATTGTGACGGTTTAACTTGGGTAAAAATTTATGTAAATTTTGGGTATTTTACTATTGGTGAACGAGATTTGGTTGGTTTGAAGATTGAACTATACAAAGATGTTTCGAAGCTTTGCATTGGTTGGTTGCCAAGTCTAGTGCCAAAGAAGAAGGCATGGCAGGGAAGCCCGAATCTCAAGCTCACGAGTTTCTGTTTAGAAAGTCGTATATTATATATAGAAGTCCGGCCATGCAATTTGATGTTGTTGAGACGTCGACGTCAACACATATAGTAATATAGTTATGTCGTCGTGTAACCAAACCCACCAACTCCGATGAGGTCATAGCTACCCCGTCCACTCTCGTCAAAACCCTTTTCCAAGTTTTCCATCTTTTTTTAGTAGGCGAGGTTAGCACACAACAAGACAAGAGTTTAGGCCAAGCCGTGATGCCTTTATCTTGCTACCTTCTCCAACCATTCTCATCGTCGGTGGGGTTTGCTTTTGTCTTTCTCTTGGCTAGCGCTCTCCTTCTGACAGAGAAACAGTATGGAAGAGAACGATTGAAAGCGTGATTTAATCACTCTCCTTAGAGTGTTTATTTGCCCCCACTACTTCGTTGCTGGTAGGATTTAGGCAAACCACCCCCATGAGTCCCTCCAATCAAAGTCAGAAAGCAGCACCTTTCGTGACTTCTGTGTTTGTGTTTTTTGAGAAGGAAAAACGAGGAGAGGAAGATGAACATTGGAACAGAAATTCGGCTGCAGACTTTTATAGTAAAACGGCAGTTCCCTTCCGAAGGGTTACGTCGTTTCACAAAATTCAAAATCAAATAATTATCCGGATTAATTAATTAGCCAAAAATTCAAATCCGAACGCGTCGCGCTAAGTGCGTAGTGCAATTTAATATGTCAAATTAAATACTCCACACTTTTTCCAAAAGCCCACTAACCACTTTATCCAATAACTAAGGTGGAAAGCAAACTTAAAAACAACTTGCACTTTCCTTCTCCCACCAATGTGGTATTTCCTTTACTCTTTGACTACTCTAACACTACTAGCTTTCCAAGATAGATAGGTACGTAGGATACGACACCGTAGAGACGGCAGCTTCATCGTAGAAAAAGAAGGGGGAATCAAATCAATAGATTCCTTTTTCACCGCCTCCACTGAACTTTCGCACAAATGAAAGAATCAGTTTGGATTATTCTCTGCGATTTGTCAGCTAGTCATTTGCAAGTTGGTTTTCACTGGAGTGCAACATGCCAGGTTTGCCTAAATCATCTTTATCCCTGCTTTCAAATATTTAAATTCATACTTATTCCATATCTATGTGGGAGAAGGTTTTGCAAACCCATCCCCATATCTGTATGTCTGCTCTGCTCTGTGCATTCAACATCATTAGATAGACCTAAAACTTTACATGTAAATTTTCAATTATAACACTAAATAGACCTACTATATCATTAAGTTAACAATTATACAATCATTTACGGTTCAAATCGTATGATCCTTAAACATCTATTAATCAATAAGACAAAGTATAATATTTTCCAAATCATTAGTTTCTAACTCTCATACATCTACTAAGTAATACTTAACTAACATAATTATCTTGTTAACAAGATGAAAAAGTGAAAGAATGAAGGAAGAATTGACGTAAAAGGAATTAGATTTGGATTTAAGTGGCCACTCAATTACATTTCTACTACATATTGTCTTAAGTTACCTTCACTATCATTGATAGGTTTCAATTTGATCCATACATTTTTATATGTGAATAAATATTCTTGGTGGGGCGGGTATGGAGTTGGGGCTGGGAGGCTCAAACCATACCTGCACCCATACGCATCCAACTTTTTGCGGGCTTTACCTCTACCAGCCCCATAATCAGTCAATGCGGGGATTTCCCGTGTTGGCTGAGTCGAAAGCGATCGTTACCCGACATCATGGATTTGATTGTCTTTTCACCGGCCATTTCCTTGATAATAAAGTTAAAACCACCCTTTTGTTGTTACCTCGACGGGCTTTCGCTTCTATTAATTGTTATGTTTGTTAGTGGTTAATTAACTACCAAATCGCAAACTCTTGCGTAAAAGGCGAAAACAGAAAACATAAAGCTTTCCACTAGAAAAGAGCAAAATTCAGGATAATTGAATATAAAGATTTCTATTTTGGACAAGACCGTTTGAGTGAAAATTAGTGGTAGAGTCAGAAATTCGAATACGGTTGTCTAAAAATCTATTATCAAAGAATTTGAATTGGCGAGGAGGATTAAAGCCTTATCCACTACTAAATTTTTCATATTTATTATGAAATTTACATAATTTTGAGAGTTGAGAATGCTATAACACCCTTTGCCATCAACGTAACTCTACACCGGTGACGATGGAATTACAGCAGCAGTTCTCTCTTTTGCTAATATGGTTTTTTTTTTCATTAGATTCCTCTGAAAAAGAGGGCGAACAAAAAATATGTGGTAAAATATAACGACAGACCAGCTGTATACAACGGGCTGGGCTTCATGGATAAGCCCGATTCACTTGCTGCCAGAAATGGGCCTTGCGCAAAAGCAAATTAAGTCAGGCCCAACACAACCTAGCGCCGGCGGGAGAAACAAATAAGGGAGAATCCTCCGGGAGGAGAGGAAGCTAGGCCGGAGCAACGGTCCACCGAGTACTAATACCGTCATCAACCAGATAAGATATCGCCGGAGCTAGCGATGACGGAGCCAAGGCGATTAAGAGGGCATAAAGACACCGCCACGTGTTGCGTAGCCTCACGCGACCGTCCTGGCATCGTAGTCACTTCCGGCGAGGTACTCCTTCTCTATCTGACTGCAGTTGAACTGAAACGACCATACAAAACATTGAACAATTCTCTCAGTGCAAGGTTCTGATTGTTTTATGTACGTATCTACTGGTTTTACGGGAATTGATATTTAGGATGGTCGTGTGTGTTGGTTCGATATGCGATGCAAAGAGGTTCAGTTTGTTATGGAGGTCGGGGAGCAACCAATTTCATCATTGTCCTTCAAGCCAGGTGAAATAACAAAAGGGTTTCTCGCTAAACTTCGTTTAGTGGTTTGGGAATTCTTATAACAAAATGTGGGTAGTTGCTTTGGAAAGTTTCAACCTTGAAGGGGATGTGCTTCAATTAAAGCGATTGTTTGGATGATTTCGCAGGAAATGAAGATATCCTCTACGTTTCCTCTGGGAATGAAGTCAAGTGTTTGGATGTGCTCATGGTAAGAATTACAATGATATCTCGATCTATTTATTTGTTTTCCGTTTAGCCAACTGAGAGGATTAATGTTTGTTAGTGATCTCAATGTATTGCTTTGGATGACAATGTTTTTTAATTTAAATCATCAGTTCATCCTCCAGATTGGGCTTGGTTAGGATCAGATTTGTAATCATGTGATTTCGGATTTGGTAAGTAGATTTGATCCTCGGGGATAGTCACTAACTTCTGAAATCGTATGTTTGGTACTCTTTAAGGCTAATGACTGGAAGCCATTGAAGACTTACAACTACAACAAGGATGAGATAAATCAGGTAAACTTCTGGATCCCAGGAGAGAAGCCAAGCTTTTGCTAAAAATGGCATTCTGATTGGCATATTGTTTGAAGGTAGCTGAAGTTTTTTTGTATGCTGAGCAGATCATTGTTCGTTTATGTTATTCCCAGGTGTAAAGCTGTTTTAATTGGAAAGCTTGTGCATGATCTGTGCAGATTGCTTGCAACTCGAGGGCTGCTTTCCTTGCTTCTACAGATGATGCCGGTGATGTTAAGGTTCTCTATTCATGCATCCCTAATTAAAGTGTATTAAGTCTTGGGTCTCTTTATAACTGGACAACTCATAACTGAGTGTTATAACTATGGCAGATTATTGACATTCACCAGCATTGCCTATATAAAACATTGAGGGCTGGCCATTCAAGTGTATCCTTCACATTTCTTTGCTTTAAGATGTTAGATTAACTACTGGTGATTTCAAAAGATTCTTCTCCCTTCAGACTTAACTGTATCTTAGATCTGTAGCAGTGTGCAGTTTATTCCTTGGAGATCATGGGAAGGTACTTTAGCTGAGCTTTTATAATTGCAGATATCCTAGTTTTCCTCCAATTTTCTGAAAAGTAAGAAAATTGCAACCTATGGTTAACATAATTTATGTTGCAGTCATCACTGGAGGTCTGGACTCGAAGCTCATTATGTGGGACTTCTCAAAAGGACGCCCAATCAAAATTGTTGATTTTGGTATCTAAAACCCTGACTCAAAGCTAAAAATTCATTGATTTATTTGGCAGTCATGATGCTCTTGATTATGTAGATCAATCTCTTATTATCACATTTCTCTGACTGCAGGCTCTAACAATAGCAGTAATGCAACACAATGTCTCAATCCTGCTTTTGTTCATGCTATAGCGGTCCCAGATGTTGATATGATCGACAATGCAGGCAAGATATGTGCAGTAGCTAGGGGTGATGGTGTTGTCGATGTGATAGACATTGAATTAGAACTTGCTGCTGCTATTAGGTTGAAAAGTTCAGCGAAGACTAAGAAAGTGTCTCAAGTAAACTCCAATAAAGAAGCCGAATCTGGCGCAAGTAGTGAAACATCGGCCAACACGAATCAAAGCACCAGGCTGCATCTGGATTACCTGTTGGGGGGGCATACTGCCGCAGTATCATGTGTTGGGTTCTCGTTATTTGGGGATAAGGGGAAGTTCATCGTTTCAGGAGGGAATGATAAGTCAGTGAAGCTGTGGGATTGCTCTCGACGTGATACAACTGAGCAGGATGGTGGCAGCAATAATGGCCCGCTACATCTCAGCATCAATTTGAGCAAAAAGGTGGGGGTTTTTCATTTCTGCACTTGACGTATGCACATAACTATCCATTTTCCCCCCCTTTGTGACTTGTGACTTGTGTCTTTGGCTATTCATTTCCTGAGCTGCTGCTTATTTGACAGGTGAATTGGCTATGTACAACTCCTACTGAATCAGAGAACCTTGTCATCTGTGACACAACGAAAGTAGTGAAGGTCTATTCCGTTACATGAATCCGCATTTTGGAGTATGGCTCCATATGGATGAAGTCCTGCACCCAGTGGGAAAACAGCTTTAACCCATAGAAGATCAGAGACAGAAGTGTCCATTTATTGTGTACCACTCATATTTTTGTGAAAGTGCAGTGGTTGAAGCAGAATGCATATATTTGATACTCCTTCTGGGATTTTCAATTTTCCATCTGAACAATGTTCGTTGCAGAGTAGCACCAGTAGTTATCTTCCTCTTACTCCTTTGCTGATCCTGACAACTTTTTGGACTCTGTCTAAGCTGTCTAGGACACTGTAATTTGAGCTGAATTAAGGTTTTGATTAGATTGGGAAAGGGAAAGAAAGAGCCTTCAGTGATTCATTCCTGCATTTGATAGAGAGTTACTGCCCATTATCGCATCTGAAGATGGTTCTTGATCGTAATGGAACCGTGGAAGGCATCTCATCCTGTTCTCCAAGCAAGCTCTCGACTTTCTTCCAGACCCTGATTTGGGTATTGTCAAGTGAGCAAGGGCAAATGATACCCTCCAGGTCCCGGCTTACGTGATTCAGCCCATTTTATATATGGACACTTGAACATTGGCCGAGCTAGCGTAACTGCGTAAGTGTACTGTTTCCTTACAGGCACAGGGGGCTTGGGAGCAAAGCTTCTTCTGTTGAGTTAGTTAAGGATGGGGGCTCCTCAACTAATTGAACTTTCCTTCAACTTCCCGCATAAAATTTGAAACCCTCTCTCTGCCTTTTGAGGTGGGAAAATTAGACGTTGCTTCTTATCAATCTCATCTGTATATCTCTCTCTCTCTCTCTCTCTCTCTCTGCACAACCCACGACACCAACACTACACCCTCCACCAACCATTTCACCTTCCCATGAAAGCTTCGCTATTACATCAATGCAACCGCAGTTCTTTCATTCCGGGGGTTAAATATAAAAACTGGATCATGGCAAAACAAACTGAGTAATTGCTCGCTTGAGTTCTCTTTAGCAAAAAATAGGGGCAAAAGTAAGATGATGGAACCCGGGGCTCCAGTGTGCAACACCTGTGGAGAAGCGGTCGGATTGAAGACAAATGGGGAGTTGTTTGTGGCTTGCCATGAGTGTAACTTCCCAATGTGCAGATCTTGTGTTGAGTATGAGGCAAAGGAAGGCCGGAAAGTATGCTTGAGATGTAGCTCCCCTTATGATGGTAACCTTCATTCCATTTCTTTGAGAAGGTATCATAGTTCAAAGCTTTACACTTTCGAGCTGATTTCCTGCTAATTTGTGTTGCTCATTACCAGAGCATTTACTTGATGATGATGCTGACCAAAAGCCACCTGGTAGTAGTCAACCCACTATGGCTGCTCATCTCAGTTATCCACAGCCTAAGGTATCAGCAGCCACTGTGATTTTGCCATTATATGCATTTGGGAATGAACTGACTGACAATATTTTGTTTACTGAGTTTCTGATACTCTTCCTTTCTTTGCAGGATGTTGGGATTCATGCTAGGCATGTCAGTACCGTGTCCACTATTGACAGTGAAATGAATGATGAATCTGGGAACCCTATATGGAAGAACCGCGTTGAGAGTTGGAAGGATAAGAAGAACAACAAGAAGAAAAAGGTTGCTAAAAATAATAAGACTGAACAAGCACCAGCTGAGATTCCACACGAGCAGCAGATGGAAGACAAGCAGTAAGTAGCATTAGTACAGATATAGAACTAGTATACTTCAAAGTTACACAAGATTTCAAGCTGAATGATTAGAAAATTGCTTTATTGTGCAGGCCTGGAGATGCTTTAATGCAGCAGCCACTTTCAGAAATCGTTCCAATGTCTCGAAACAAGCTGACACCATACAGAGCTGTGATCATAATGCGATTGGTCATTCTTGGCCTTTTCTTCCACTACAGAATAATGAATCCTGTCGACAGTGCTTTTGGCCTTTGGCTAACTTCTGTCATTTGTGAGATTTGGTTTGCCTTCTCTTGGGTATTGGATCAGTTTCCTAAATGGTCTCCTATCAACAGAGTCACATACCTCGACACCTTATCTGCAAGGTACTAAGATAACCTGAACTTTCTGAACAACCAACTCATTAGTAATTTGTGATCCCTTCCTAGCTTAAGTAGTCTGGATTTTCACTCTCAACTCCATTATTCAATCCCAGGTTTGAAAGGCCGGGTGAACCTTGTGAGCTTGCTCCTGTGGACTTCTTTGTGAGCACAGTCGATCCATTGAAAGAACCGCCATTGATTACTGCCAACACGGTGCTATCCATCCTGGCTCTGGACTACCCAGTGGAGAAGGTCTCCTGTTATGTATCTGATGATGGTGCTGCCATGCTCTCGTTCGAATCTCTAGCTGAAACATCTGAGTTTGCGAGGAAGTGGGTTCCGTTCTGCAAAAAGTATGCGATCGAACCAAGGGCACCTGAGTTTTATTTTTCGCAGAAGATTGATTACTTGAAAGACAAGGTTCAGCCTTCTTTTGTTAAAGAACGTAGAGCTATGAAGGTAAGTGACTTCGAAATTTCTCTGAACATATTTAACTCGTGAGCTTGTTGATCATCCCCTCAGTCATTTCGACTGTTAACAACTGGGTATTATTTTGCAGAGGGACTACGAAGAATACAAAATTAGAGTGAATGCAATGGTAGCCAGGGCTCAGAAAACACCTGAAGAAGGTTGGACTATGCAAGATGGAACGCCCTGGCCTGGAAATAACACCAGAGACCACCCTGGAATGGTTCAGGTAGAAAATCCAAACTATTTGCTCCTCGTAGAGTCGTGCATAAGCTATAAAAGTTGAAAACTTTCAGTTTCTTAAAGGCTTCTTTTTCTCCTATCAGGTCTTCCTTGGAAACACTGGAGCTCGAGACATGGATGGCAATGAGCTCCCTCGTCTGATTTATGTCTCTAGAGAGAAAAGACCAGGCTACCAACATCACAAAAAGGCTGGTGCTGAGAATGCTCTCGTAAGTATCAAATGAGCTAGAGTTTCATGGTGAAATCTCTACATTGAAAGACACTCAATATTCTTCCATAGTGTTGATGGTTCATATGGCTTCACAACGCAGGTGAGAGTTTCTGCAGTTCTCACAAATGCGCCCTACATCCTCAATCTTGATTGTGACCACTATGTGAACAATAGCAAGGCAGTTAGAGAGGCAATGTGCTTCTTAATGGATCCACAAGTTGGTCGAGATGTGTGCTACGTTCAGTTCCCTCAAAGATTCGATGGTATTGACAAGAGTGATCGATATGCCAATCGCAATATTGTCTTCTTCGATGTAAGTACAGATCAATATACCTCTTCAACAAGCAACTGTAGTCTTGCTGCACTTGTTCTCTTGGCAATTCTGGAATCCCATTTCTTATTTGCAGGTAAACATGAAAGGACTGGATGGGATTCAAGGACCGGTTTACGTGGGAACAGGTTGTGTTTTCAATAGGCAAGCACTTTATGGATACGGACCTCCTTCGATGCCTACCTTAACCAAGAGTTCCTCATCGTCATCGTGTTCATGGTGTGGTTGCTGCTCTTGTTGCTGCCCATCAAAGAAGAAGGCTGAGTTAGACGCAAGCGAGCTATATAAAGATGCAAAAAGAGAGGAGCTCAATGCTGCCATATTCAATCTTCATGAGATCGAGAGTAAGTAATCATAGCCGAAAACTCAAATCTAATGATTACTTGACGCAGAAGTAAATAACAGCAAATGCTACTACTGCCAAAGTTTTGTTCTTTTTGTCACCCTCTTCTCTCCTCTACCCTGCAGACTATGATGAGTATGAGAGATCAATGCTGATGTCCCAGAGGAGCTTTGAGAAAACTTTTGGATTGTCGTCCGTGTTCATCGAGTCTACATTGATGGAGAATGGAGGGGTACCTGAATCAGTTAACTCATCGACACTCATCAAGGAAGCCATTCATGTCATCAGCTGCAGCTATGAGGAAAAGACAGAGTGGGGCAAAGAGGTATGAACTCTCAACCATATGCTGAACAATAGATGAAAGATGAGGATCAAAACTGGACCAAGATGCTGAATCTTAACACTTTTTCCCCCAGATTGGCTGGATCTACGGGTCAGTGACGGAGGACATCCTGACCGGGTTCAAGATGCACTGCCGTGGATGGAGATCAATCTACTGCATGCCACCGCGGCCAGCATTCAAAGGTTCTGCACCAATCAATCTTTCTGACAGACTTCACCAGGTTCTGAGATGGGCGCTTGGCTCAGTCGAAATCTTCTTGAGCAGACATTGTCCACTCTGGTATGGCTTTGGAGGCGGCCGCCTCAGGTGGCTACAAAGACTTGCCTACATCAACACCATTGTCTACCCTTTCACTTCCCTCCCTCTAATCGCCTATTGCTTGATCCCCGCCATTTGCCTTCTCACTGGCAAATTCATCATCCCAACGGTACGAAAAAATCAGAAATCTTCGAAATTATTATAGCTAGTTCTCAATTCAATGGTATGAGAGTGATATAAGATCCATAATTAACCTCACACTTCTGAGGCTGATGAATTGATTGCAGCTGTCGAACCTGGCGAGCGTGCTCTTCCTGGGCCTCTTCATGTCCATCATCCTGACCGCGGTTCTGGAGCTGCGATGGAGCGGGGTGAGCATCGAGGATCTATGGCGCAACGAGCAATTCTGGGTGATCGGAGGCGTATCCGCACATCTCTTCGCCGTATTCCAAGGCTTCCTGAAAATGCTAGCCGGAATCGACACAAACTTCACGGTCACGACCAAAGCGGCAGAGGACGCCGAGTTTGGAGAGCTCTACATGGTGAAATGGACGACGGTTCTCATCCCTCCGACGACCCTCTTGATCGTGAACATAGTCGGGGTGGTGGCGGGGTTCTCCGACGCGTTGAACAAAGGCTACGAGGCTTGGGGGCCATTGTTCGGGAAAGTGTTCTTCGCGTTCTGGGTTATACTCCATTTGTACCCATTCTTGAAGGGTTTGATGGGGCGACAGAACAGGACGCCGACGATTGTGGTGCTCTGGTCGGTGCTTTTGGCGTCTGTGTTCTCGCTGGTTTGGGTGAAGATCAATCCTTTTGTTAACAAGGTTGATAGCATGGAGATTGCGGGAACCTGCATCTCAATCGACTGCTGAGAGTGATGAGTCGACCCACCTGTAATCCTAGTGGGGAAAGGATTTGCATCCTTTGATGTTGAGAGATATGTGTTTTTTTTTTGTTTTTGAAAGGGAGGGATTGGGTTGGTGAAGAGCCAGATTGGAGCACATGGATTGGTGCTTCTTAGGGTGTTGCTGTAAAGAAGAAATCGAATGGTTGTGTGTTTGTATCATAGTAATGCATAATTCAAAAGACAGAAGAGATTCTTGCTCTCTTTATTCCTCTATCTGTGTCTATTTGTTCCCCATTAGATAGATAGAACCATTCAACCATATATGAGAATTTATCAAATTTTCCGAACCAATGAACTCCATCTATTTATTCTTACAATTTACATGCATAACAAACTCACACTAGGGGTGGGCATCGGTACGGTTCGGACCGGACCGCACCGCATTTTTATAAACCGCACCGAATCACATTTATGTAAACCGCACCGCATCTTTGACCGCGAAGTTATCGGTGCGGTCAAACCAAACCGCATAAATTAACGGTTTGGTATGGTTTAGACCGCACCGCATTTTGACCGCAAATGACAAGAAAAGAAGGAAGCTTGGAAATAAAAAAAAATGGCAAGGATTCCCCCTCCGTTTCTGTGTACTGATGCAAACCTGACAAATTTATTCAATTGGGAACACAGAAACACCAAGTACATACTCGATCATCATGCCACCAAAAGTCCAAAATAGAGCTGTGAAGGCAAGAGAAGTAGAAGATGGCAGCACAAGAAGAACCATGACTGCTCAACAACTATTGAATGCTCTATTTTCTTAGTTATCTGTTGTAGTTTTGAAATAATAGCAAACAAAAAAAATGGCAGGGTTCCTCTCCACATTGCTCTGTTTCCGGCCATCAAAACAGAGCATATGCTCTGATTTCCCCATGCCTTGCATCTGCTGCTTTCTTCTTGTGGAACTCTGTTTCTTGGCTAGATCCCCTACACATGAACCCATTGAATATACTGTAAGATGGGTGGGGAAAAACATTAAACCATAATGCTTGAGATATATGTCCCTCCAAGAATGACAGGATTCAGATACCCTGCTGCAAACTCAATTTATGCCACAAATTGCTAACTTCCAGAGTACAAATTACTTCCATGGTCCAACCAACATGATCGTGTCCAAATTAAACCCATGTACGGGTACCACTTAGCCTCACCCAAGAGTCATGTATATTAGCTCAAGGTCTGTACTATGTACTGTCAGAAAAGTCCAGACAACCCCCACCAAAGCAAAAAAAGCAAACAAACTACGATGGAACACCATTACAGCAGGGTCTTAGACATTATTGGAATTAAAAACAAGGTCTTAGACATGAAAATGAGATTGGCAGCAGGGCAGTGAAAGTCATATTATCCCTGTTGAGTGCTTCCTTCTGGGAGGCCAACTGTCAGTACTAGCATGCCTGCATTACCCCTAGCTAACCAGCATACATGTCTTAAACCAATCGAGAGTAGTAGCTAGCTGGCTAGTTATCAAATGTTAACAGCAACAAATGTCATACCTCTAAATAGATGGTATTTAGGCCATACACAGAGAGAGAGAGAAGGGGCAGCTCAGAAATTGCACTAATGATCAGGTTCAAATGTTACCTTATATGTTTGTGCTTGCCTCTACATTAGGACTCATACGAGGAGTATGGATACGAGGAAGTGGAACATCAGATATACCAATAGCCTTCATAATCATGCTCAACTCTGAAATTCATAAGAAGACAGTTTAATCAATACATAAAACGTACATGGTACATAAACAATAGCTTTTTTTAGGTTACTCACCTTCATCGATATTAAATCATCGGCCATACCACAGATATTAAGTATCGATATTAAAACATCAGATACTTAATCTTGACACCCCTGAATTGTACCTGAAACCAAAAGAACTAATTCCGACCAAACCCTACTCGAAGAACCAGTATATGCAATTAGCTCTAAAATGGTGTCCATATAAAGTAGTGAATAAACATGCAAAAGGATTTATCTAATCACAGTGATCACTCAGCTGAACTATGCATTATAAATCATCACCTGACCCCATTAATCAAATCCATGAAAAAACAGCAAATCTTGTAAAAAAACAAACAGAAGAAACATAGCCTCAGAAGGAAGGCAGTAGTGGTTTGTTATGTAATCAAACTATTCGTCATACAGACACAATATCACCAGTTCTCATCACAGGCAAAAAAACCGAAAATATTGAAAACCCAGATGGAAAGAACAGATCTTGAAATCGAATTGAAATGGCCTCATAGAGAAGATTAGGCGTATCAACATGGATAAAATTCAGACATGCTTGTCAATTTTTGATATTAAATCATCGGCCATACCACATCGCCAGAAAAAGAATAAAACTTGGATCTGGGTTTTTTGAAAGAAAGAAAGTAATTGAAGGGGACTCAGAATATGGGTGGTGATATATCAGAATGGTCGTCAAGGCCTTTTACAGCCATTACGAACAAAATCAATGAATGAATGAATGAATCATTCTGATAACAGTATCTTCTACTATAGTAAAGGAACTCACCTCACTAACACTAAGCACATTGTTGCTGGGTATCTGTGCTCGAGCTCGTTTTCCCTGTGATCCTTTAGATTTTATCTTTCCAATAACAGTATCTTCTGTTTCCCTATTGCTTGATATCGAATTCACAGATTCATTACAGCCCTACAAGCATATGAAAGAAGACAGTTAGAACATTGTGACAGGTAAATAAATCATTCACTGGGTTTTGTTCCCTGATCTCTAAATCTAATAGCTATCTTCCACCATGAAAAGAGAAAAGGGTAACAAACATAAAATACCAAACTAAGAACTGTGCACTTGTTAACGTGGACAAAGAAACCAACACAAATAAATTCTGTTCAAAGTTCAAACCAAGAGGAAAAAGAAGGAGAAGAAAACAAATAATGGGATGGATGAAAAAGCAATCAACCGACATTTATGTGCATTGTCGCAATTAATTACAGTGGTTTTCAACCCTTGTTCAACCCTTATCAAATTTCCCAATTCCAATTTTGTAGATTGGTAAATAGTACAAATTTGAACAGAATCCCAACTCGATCTCTGTAGTTTTCTGAAGTAGGAAGCCCTGCCAGTGCTTTGAGATAATACTTGTCCACAACATTATCATTCAGGTTGCTAGAAACAATGGCATCCAAATTCCAAAGAGTATTGAATGCTTGAGCATTTCTTCATTTAACCCAGCTGGCCTAAATTTCTCTGCTCTCAGAGCAACATAGGAACTCAGATGCTCGAAATGGAAAACGAAGAAATGCAACACGTACATGAAAGCGGAGATAATAACTGACAGAATAGATCGAGTGTAGAGATAGATTTAGGGATGGAAGGAGCTTTGCTTCAACTTTGGAATTGAGGCATTGTCGCAATTAATTACAGTGGTTTTCAACTTTCCTCTTCCGATTTCGGGTACGGTAAAAACAACCCTAGATCCATACCTAACAAATCTAATCAACCCACCAAGCATACTAGAAAACCCACGGAGGGCAAAGGGATAAGTAGGTCGGTCGCCGCCTTGGCGGAGGTCCGACGGGAAGACATGCGGTTGATTCGACTTTCGAGATTGAATCCAAAAGAAACCGATCAAGGATATGAAGAGGGAGGGAGAGAGTACCAGAACGACGGTGTGAGCTGGGATGCGGAGGCCGGCGGAGGTGCGAATCTGGATTTTAGGTCAGGGGAAGCGTCGTCGGCGTCGATCTATGAAGCTCGGGACGTCTCTTGGTGTTGTGCAACGTCGAGAGGAACAGAAGAATCGTTAGGTATGGATGAGGAAGAAGAATCGCCGCCGGGTAGCGAGGGAATGGTGCGGATCTGGCGGTGGCGGGGACTGGATGAGGAAGAAGAATCGCCGCCGGGGGGATAGCGGTTTGCGGTGAGGAAGAAGAATCTCTGCGTTTGCGGTTGGTGGTGGGCGACCTTCAGTAAGAATTAGCGGTTTGCGGTTTTGAACCGTAATCGTGTGGTTTCGGTCAATCCAAACCGCGAACCACTAACAATTAAATGGTTAGTCCGCAAACGAAACCGATAGTTAACGGTACGGTTTGGATTGACCGTTGGAGCGGTTTGGAGCGGTTTGGAGTGATTTGGTGAAACCAATGCCCACCCCTAACTCACACACGCAAAAGCCTAGGTTTCAAAAAATAATACTTTCCCGTCACCGCTTCCTCTCAAATCCCGACTTCCGCCGCCGCTTCCTTTCCCATCACCGCCACCAGAGCGAATTACCTTGCGTCAAACCACCGCTCGTGCATATTTTACTCGTGAGTTTACTCACAGCCAATGAATTCTACTCTGGGCATATTTTTTTATGTTTGAGTTTGACAGGTGGAATAATAAGAGGAGGAACGAATCTGCGTTCTCGATCTCGTGAGTTTTGCAGCTTCGTGATTTCGCTTCTCGATCTCTCTGCTGCGGCGGGGAGGGAAATCGATGAGGATCAGGAAGAGGAAGGTGCCGCTGCCGTTCCATTTGCTCTCTCCAGTTCCAATCCCAGCTCCTTCTTTCTTCTCTCCAGATCACGACCCCACCGCCGCTACTACTCCGCTGGTGCAACTCCGCCACGACGCTTCGTTGACGAGACCGCCGATTCCCGCTTCCGATGATAACAAAGCTGCTGCTACTGCTTGTTGTGGTGGTGGAGCAGCAGGCCCGACTGTTCGTTCCGGTGGCATTGCGTCACCGCTCCCGTATAAGGTAATTACGTTAAAGGTAAGTTTCCGAAACAGAAACTTTTTGAATTAATTTAATTTCTTTCTTAATTATCTCATTTATGATTTTAATTGCTAGTTGTTAGCTTTTATTATTCCCTTAATCTACGTTTTCGTCATCAATTCTCTTTCGGTAACAATGATTAGGTAAATATTAATTATTTATTTAATTTATTTGAGCAAGCTCAGTTATGTTAGTAATTTTCTTATCCATTTTTTAATGGTAGAATGGTTCTATTCTATTTATCTGTTTACCTTCCTGCTCTCTTTATTCCTCTATCTGTGTCTATTTGTTCTTTTATTTTATTTCTGTATTTCAGGTTAGTATTTTATATTTATTTTCTTTCATTTTTTTTTCTTTTGTTTAATTGTTTTGGTCGAGCGCATCTTCAACTTGTGACGAAAGCAAGTCTCGAGTTTATCTCTTCAATGGCTATTTAGTCTTTCTAAAGAATTCTCAGGGATGGCTAGAGGCTCAGTCAACTTCTAAGGTTATGGACCTCTTTCAATTGATTTTGTTAAATCCCATTATGGTATTATTAATGCTTACTAATAATATATTGATTGTCACATGTCGTGGGGATTTTCAAATGGTCATCATGGACCCTACATCGAGGAAGTCTTCTCTTTTTGGAACCGGAGCCATTTCCAGGGAAGTTTTTTTTCTCTCTTCCTGTCCCCGTGTCAGTTTCGTGTCTTTCCGCTCCTTGGAGCTTTCATGGAGCTGCCCATTAGTGGCATAACAAGCTCTTTTATCGGGAGTCCGGTTGCATACGGGCTACCGTTCTTTATTATTATATATTTTGTATTCCTGTTGTCCGGCCATGCCCGAGGGGCTTATCTTGGATTAAAAAAAAAGAATATAAATTTTTTCACGGTATTAAAATGTGTATTAGTCTGAAATATAAGTATTATCCAGCTGGTTTTGTTTCTAAAGATAATGAGTTCGACTGATTCTGTCTCAATAGAATACTTTGACTAATGTGTTTTTAATAGCAACTTTAGTTGTGTAATACGTAGGAATGAGAATGACAATAGGATGACTACACACGGTGGGCTTATCAATATTCTAACTCTTCTTATATTTCTTATATAGATTAGGTTTTATGTAAATTCACGTAGGTATGATTCTGAGTAGATCGACACTTGTTTGTATGTAATTAAGAATATATATGTGTAGTATATTTTGAATTGTATATGAAAAGAATATGTCAAAAGACTTTCAAATGAAAAATAAAGATAATAACTTGACTAATGAAAAATTATTTGAGTAATAAAGACTTGAATTATGTTGTAAATTAGTCAAAATAGCATGGATAAATTTGTGTAAATATATGAGGCAATTGAGATGGAGCGGATTGATAATGGGCGGAGCAGACTAAAGTAGTGATGTCAATTTGAACCTGACATGACTAAAGTATTACCCACACTACAGGAGCGGGTCTGGTCAGTAACACATAGGTCAGTAACCATGCATAATTCAATCACCATCCCCCACACCAGCGGCCCCTTCTCTCTCCTGTAAAGCCTTTAACTTTCCCCCCTTAATCTTTGACGATTTCTCACTCATTTTAAGTCATAATTTATTTTTTTTGCACAGTTAGATCAGATCAATTGTGCTCTTCAAAATGATATCCACTTTGATATATTTTTTGAACAAAAAAATTGAGTCATTTTTTACCAATTTACACCATATGGTATTGATTGGTATTGAAATAAGAGCATACTATATGGTATAAAGCGTACCATGGTGGTATGAATATACCAATACTGTAGGATGGTTGAATACATGATAGTAGGAATATCACTTACGACTTTCAATATTGTGTACCACAAGATACCACCCCGTACCAGGTGGTATTGTATGGTATTGTTTGGTTTTTTTTTTTTTTGTCCTATATTTTGTTCACCCAGAAATTTGTAGATTCTATAGATCCAGAAATTTGTGGAAACAAATCAAATTGTTTGAGTGAAATTGAAATTGTTATCTCTAATACACTACGAAATAGACTTTCGTCTTTTTCACACCAAGTTTATCCCTAATTAAAAGCATAAAGGCAACAAAATAAGGACACACTCCTCGCACCTTCTCAACTTACTTGTTAATTGCAATCTTT